CTACAAAACTGTTCTCAAGGCTACAGCCACTTCACCAGTTGTGTTCCTGGAGTACAATCTTGAGAGTAAGTATCTGCAAAGACAAAAATAAAACTGCATTTAGATCATTCAATGATACTAGTTTTTACTAAGAGTAAATTACAATATTTGTTCTCAGTGTGCTTAATTGATTTGTGCTTTCACACAAAACAGGCTCCATGAGTACTACAATGGAGAATGGTGCCCTTGTTGTAGGAGCAAATGCTGTACTTACACATGCTGACTTTACTATGGACTTCAGCAATGTTTTTCATATGGGGTAAAAAATAAAAACTTCTGAATTTTAATCGAATTATAAGTAAAAGTTTTGTATTAGGCTTACAAGTATTCTTCAGTATATAACAAATTCTGTGTGTAAATGGTAATTATTAAGCATACTTATGACTTTTTCTTTAGTGATCCTAGCCATACCATGAATGTGGACATCACCAGCCCAACATTCACTGATGTAAACTTTCGCTACACTGCTCGAAGCGATGGGGTAAGTGCCTCAGTTTCCACACCAACAACTGGCCACCTTGGCTTCCAGATTCAAGGAAAGATTCCATCCGCGATGAATGCGAGGATCTACAGCCGTTATGCTGTAAGTGGCATTTCATTACTCCTTCAAACTGAGCTATTAACTCATGCTAACAACCTTTGTTTCTATATATTGTAATCATTCTATACTGTAATCATTGCATTTTCTGCAGTCTGCACCAGGAGATGATGTTGAAATTCTGATCATCAGAGCAGTACCAAAGGGAGACGAAAAAGTACTGTTGGTCAGCTACAATTTACTGGCCACACGTGATATGGGCGAAGGCTTGATAGAGAGGCTACAAGATATCTCATCCTGTGTTGAAGGATTTGCTGAAAAATATGGCATCAATGATGCACTAAATAGACTGTTTAACATTGTTAAAGAAGTTGAAAATATTTTAAGAGATGACCTCTTTTCTGATTCTGAGCATAGTGAGTTGTCTAAACTTTTCAGAAGTGTAGTTGTTACATACCAAAAGACTATCCAGGTCCTGCTTGATGCTGCCATCATCTTCCTGAGAGAGACAAAATATAAATTGCCTGGAATGGATGAAGCTACACTGCCTGAAATCTGCAACAAAATCAGATTTATTTTTGTGGAAATGTTGGAGAAACTCGCTAACAATCTGGAGATATATTTCTCTACCATCATGGAGAACTTCAGCACAGTTGAAATGACATTTTCCTCTGGAAAGGTCATGACTGTAGCCGAGGTGCAAAAAAATGTGAAAAGTACCCTGAGAATTCAACTAGCTATGATAGTAGATGTGATGATGCAAACAGAAGGCCTTGATGTGTTTCTTGAGAAACTAGGACAGACCCTACAAGAGGTGGTTGATAAAGCACAAGAATTTGTGGAAAGCATTAAGTCCGATATCTTAGAAGCTGTTGCTGCTCACCTTAACACTTTCTACAATAAGCTGCTGCAGACCTTAGAAGAACTGGCTACAGTGTTTGTCTTCATTGTTTTGCTGCCTTTAAGTGCATTTTATAACAACATTTTGACCAATTTGGATGAATTGTTTAATGCAAATAATGGAATACAGCAAATTGAGCTGCCGTTGCCTTTTTTCCAGTAAACTGATCATTCGAAACAAACATCGAATTAAATAAACACTACCGTCTTTTGGAAAGATCATTCTCAAATGGACATTCAAGCCAATGGACGCTTAACTGAAGTGTAACACCAACATGTATATAAAGCAATCACTGATGCCATAAACGTCTCATTATTATGCTGTTGTATTATTTCATTTGTATAAATGATTATTCAAATACTAACCTTGGTACAAAAATGTCAATTGTGACATATAGTTTCTTTCCTTGTTCAGTATCTGATATTAATGGCATAATGGATGAGGCTAAATAAAGAACTTTTATTACGCAATATCATGCATCTTTTTATTTTGTTCCTCCAAAGATGTTAGTCTGTTGATCTGGAGCTTAGCAAAATGCTTGAATGTGATTATGAGCAGAAAACACACATTTCTTTCTCAACAACATATATGGTATATTGCACAATATTAAATGTTAAGTGCTAACTGTCTCAGAAAAACATTTCTCATATATATCAGTTATAATATATTGTATAATGTTGGATGTGATAATACAGCAAAACCTGCATTTCAAAATACTACCTCTCAGTACATGAGCGATTACACCTATTTTGCTAAAAAATGTACATAAAGAAGTGCCTAAAGGTTTATTAATAGTCAAAGCATTTTTACTTTCACATTTTTGTCTACAGCATAAATTATAGTCATACATTTTGTCATATTTTGGACATCTCATATCTTTCATATTTGACTTTAGCTCACTTTTGTTCTAACTTCAACGTGGTATGCAATATTTGAGATTAGGAATTTTTTCTTTATTTAAACAAAAGACCCATCTCCAGTGGCTTTACTCTGCTCCCTTGTGGTGAAGACACTGAATTGTGTACACAGATACAAATGCAGAGGATATGAAATAAGTTAAGCAATTATAATATTTACTGTATAGACCAAACAATCACGATTAATAGTCTTGTTTGTGTATTTTTGCTGATTTATAACAGACAAAATGTTAAAGATAAAACCATATAATCATTTCAAAATAACAAAAGAAATCAACTCAACAACAGTCCAAAGCACTTTTGTGTGCCAGTTAGAATTCATAAAATAATTCAGAAAGTTTTATAAAAAAAAATTTGAGTACAATGATACAAATATTATGTGGTTTTGTCTTACACATTTTCATTATTTTGGCTTTGCTCCCTCAGTTTGTAACCAATGCTTTGAAGTGTGAACACACCAGATGTTGAATGTTCAAGTGAAGGTTACTCTGATGTATGTCAGTATGTGTGAGTACCAACCTAACCACATTTTGGGAACAAATTTGTACTAACTAGCTGTATATGTGTGCACTGAAGGTGAGACAAAAATAAAATTGTATAACGCTGATGTAGAAAGATGTCTTATGCCTTGTCAAAAGGTAAAATGTATTTGATGCATATGAATGAATTTCCTATTTCAGTGAGCTATTTTGGTGATGAGCTGTCTGTGATGTATATAATTTATGTAACACATGAAATGGCACTCTACTGTGACCATGTGTTTAAAAGGTTCAAATTAGGAGTGAGAAGAGGTTCAGAGTCCTCACATTCAGACTGACAGAAGGAAGCATTATAGGGTCATGATAAATCAAACAACAGTGCGACTGTAACAATAATAATGACTTGCCTGACGAGAGTCAGCACATTCAACTAGTTCAAGTACTGTAAAGGATACTGAAACTGAATATGACATCAGAGTAGATTTAAAATTACAAGACACATTTTTGCATTTAAAAATTGTAAAACTTATGTGATAAAATTGTGAAGCAGGGGAGGCCAGGGCTAGTTGTCACATTTCTCTTACTCCAATGAATATTTCCTAGGGGTCTCTTTTTTTTTTTTTTTTTTGGGAAAATGTATTTCGCTGTAGACATACCTTACTATTGAACATCTCCACTGCTATTGTCCAAGAAAGAAAGTCACCGAACACAGTGTCACACTAGACACGTGTATTCTATTGCTATTCTATTGACAGAATTCACAAAGTTATACTAATACGCTTATTTTGAACAAAATACTGTAGGCCTACCCTAAAAAAAACACTAGGCTTACTAGAAAAAAGCATTTGTGGAATTATGCAAGACTCAAAACCATATTTACTGGGATAAAACCCCATATAGTCATAGATTTCCCATGTGACATCTAGCCCCGATCTTCTATATGATTGATTAATAAAGAATGATAGACTGATTCATTGAATTATAGAAAACGCACTCATTAATTGAATTAAAATAATAGCTAGAGTAGCCTAATGGTCAATTTGATTAATGTAACTTTATTCTGTGGAGTCAAAATATGCTGTATGATAAAGAGAACAGATTAAAAAATACTTAGGCTAAAATTTATTATATAGGCTACTCATGTTTCAGAAAACTAGACAACAGATTTTTCGCTATTAAGCCTAAATGATTTATTAATAGCTATCCATCTCACGTCACGAGGATATTTCCAAGGGGCTCCACGGAGTATCTTGTCACTTATTTAAACTGTGGATAAACTGACCTGAGTTACGTACGATGGAAGCAAAACCAAACAGGCACACTTGAAGCATACGAAGCAGAGTATGTGAGCGGAGTGGAGCGGCAACAATTTCAACTAAGTCCGCTCCTCGCTCCACCCCACGCTAACTGATATCAGAAACACCGCTCCATCAAGTTGAAGTATTTCAGTATGTTTTGAAATATCACAGAAGTTGTGTTCATTGCATATATTAAAAGGAAAAAAAATACTAGGAGAGTAGCCTAGTTTCAAATTAAGTGGCTTAATGCAACACTAGTGTAAACTTTTTTCCTACCAGATGCCAAGCTTATTATTTTGTTTGTGGAGGACGAAAATTAGTAGGCCTACGTTTTCGTCCGTTATTTTATCTGCAGATCGTTGCGTTTCTTACAGATTTCTGCTCATGCGAAATCGGATACAGATGAAGTAGCACTGTAAGATTACATTTGTTTGAATGCATTATTGAGGGAGCATTGCGTGTGAATAAGTGTTGTAACGTATATATAACGAATACGTGTTTAAATCACGCTTTCAGCCGAAAATATTCAGTATCTAGAAGGAACAAAAGTCCTTGAGAACTAACTTCCCGCTCATGTCCATTGCGGTCATCATACTCTTTCTGATTTGAGTGATCCTTCTCTATCAAGCTATAGCTAAATATGTTTAACATGTGAATTCTTGGTAAAATTGCAGTTGTATTATGGGACGTTGGCATGAATTGTGCTCGTGATGGAGCGGCAGTGGAGCGCTCTTGGATCCGCTCCTCGCTCCATTCAAAATCACACAGCTCCACTACCCACTCACAAGATGAAGCAGTATGATCTAATTTTAGCTGTTCAGGGCACTGACGGCTCCGGACTCTTCTTGGGTGTCGCATTACCAAACGCTACCCAAACTTTTTGGTTTTAATCGTTGCTTGCCTTGGATTGGAAAGTTCCCAACCGAAACCGCCCCTCCTACTACTATGATCTAGGATAGCAAACATTTACAAATTGACAAGTGTCACCTAAGAGCCCTTTCACACTCTTGCGGATCCTGCACGAGCTGAAAATGACCACCGGCGTCGAGCGACTATTCGACGAACTTGGACACTTTAAAAGGTACCCATTTGCTCCTGAGAAGTGTTTTACAGCAATCACATCAAAACTCTTCATATTTGCTCCATACACTCTAAAAAATGCTGGGTTGTTTCAACCCAATGTTGGGTCAAATATGGACTAACCCAACTGTTGGGTTAAAAAGCTAATGTAACCAAACTAAATGTAACCAAAATTTAACCCAACAGTTGGGTTAGTCCATATTTGACCCAACATTGGGTTGAAACAACCCAGCATTTTTTAGAGTGTATCATCGTTATCGCATGAATGATGCCAATTTTTCATTATGTTGGTGGCCTTTAATAAATACGCATAGCGATTTAGATGTATTAGAAACATGACGTAAAAGAATATCCAATCCTGTACAATGTATAAAAGTTCGTATTTTTAAGTTAACAAAAACTGTAGGTTACGTTACTATATCAGATATTTTATTTTAAAAGACATTACTACGTTTAAAAAACGTTTTAGAAGTAAAATAAAAAATATATTGTCTTATAATTTACAGAGAAGGTAGCCAAATGCATATACAATTTTATGAAAAAATATTGTACAGTAGCCTATGTTAAACAGGATATCACAACTGTAAATATTCTGGAAACCGCAGCTGTGTTTTTACCATAAAATTAACTGACACTACAATGTAAAAAATATAAACAGACTTTTATTGCCTGCATGTCAATATTTGCAAAATATTTGTCCTTAATCTTACAATAGTTTGTCCCGCTTTATAGACATCAATGAATAGTTTATTTAAAAATTGATGTCATTTGATGAATTAACTTCCATTTGATCCTTCTTTATCTTCAGGTTTCAAGCATGTCTTTACTTTGCTGCTATTTTCCAGGCCATCTCATGTGGAATACATTACCTGGCCTCGGTTTTCTTAGTTCAAACCCCTAAATTTCTATGTGACGCTCCTTCAAATATCACAGACGTTCTATATAGAAATCACTCTTCAACATCGCTGCCAGATATATGGACTCACTATAAGCCAGGTGATGGACCAGTGGTTGTACGGACAGCTGGAGGAGACCAGTGGGAACTTAGTCCTTGTTTAAAAGCGCTGCGACTTGATGCCATCAATTTTCAATACGAGTTTTTTGGGAACAAGACTGTAGAGTCATGTGGTGGCTTTGTCTATGATCACAGCGAGGTTGAGCAGAGCATCGTAACAGAATGGGACCTGGTGTGTGAGAAGGAATGGCTGGCCAAGCTTGCACAGCCAACTTTTATGCTGGGAGTTTTGATTGGAGCATTGGTGTTTGGGGACGTCGCAGACAGGTAAGTTGTCTGTGTTGCATTTGTTTACACAACCACTTAATTGCACATCTCAAATGTATTCAGAGAAATCAATGAACAAAAAGAACAGATACTTTCATGAGTGAAAATGTAATGGTTTAATATGGTTAAATGTGAATAAAAGTTACCCTATTGGTTGAAATAGGCTATTTATTTATAGGACAAAAAAAACATGGTTAGGCAACTAATTAAGGGAATGAGATTCCAGAAATGGATTGTCAAGGTATTATTACACAGTAGCTGTTGACAGAACAGTGCACATAAATCATGATTATGGATTGTGACAAGACAAGTGCACTGTATCCACATTATACCTGAACATTTAATATGGCAAGATGGTTTACAATTGGCAAATATTTGATTCTGCAATAAGAAAACTAAGAGCGCTGAGAGAACTGCACAGGATGTGAGACATGCAGACACTGCATGGCTGCACATAAACAGGATATCACAGGTTCACATTCCATGAAGACAGAATCACTGTTCATTTCAATACTAGACAACAGTGAACTGGAGCTACTACTGTCTATTTGTACATGTTCATCATCAGATTGGTCATGGTTGTACAACAGCAGAGGAGTATTATTTTGTTCTGCCAATGTGTATCCTTATAACTTATTCAATGATTAAATGAATGCACAGGAACAGAATCAAATGTGTAATGGTCAAAGGTGAAGTCATGCTGGTGTACATAAATGAGACATTTGCATGCAAAAACAGGCCATTGGTTTGCTTTGAGAATACATTTACCCTGTTTGTCCTTAAACAGCTGTTCACACATAAATATCAAATTGTAACAAGTGAATCTTTCTACCATGAACTGGCAATTGACTGAATGGTACAACCAGTCTCTTTTCATGCTTCAGTTGAAATTAATATAAACCAAAAGGTTTATATAAAGCTATTTGTCTATAGCTACAAACATTTTTCTGTAGTTAATTGAAAACATTTATAATATATAAATTTTTCCTTTTCCTTCTTCCAGAATTGGCAGGCGCCCCATTTTGATGGCTACCAGCTTGTGCCAGTTTCTTTTTGGGGTCACTGTTGCATTCACAGGGAACTACTACCTCTTTGTGTTGATGCGTTTCCTTCTTGCAATGGTAAGTGGACTGGCCCATATTCTGAATATTTACATTCATGCATGCACATACATAATTAGGCTGTATGTGTCTCAAGTAAATACTTTGCAATAAGTTACAGTCTGAGGGTTGGTGATGTAGCTATTTAAAGCTGTTTAATTAAACATCCCTGTCTTTCTCAGTTATTTTACTTACCCCACATCTTTTACTTCTTTAGCTGTTGCATTTTTGTTTAAAATCAAAGCTTCTAATCACAGCTGAGAAGCTTCAGACTTCTACAGCTGAAAGAATAAAAATATGGTGAAAACTGGCTAGAAATGAAAAATAACTTATAAAACAACAAAGCAATTTAACACTTCAAAAATAATTTATATTCGTTATAATCGTTATAATTGGAAACTGTAGTTTAATATCAGAAAAGATGAAATAACACCTTCCGCCCAGTTAAAACAAATCTTCAGTCTCGTTTACTTACTCGATGCAGAAATAAATTAAACAAAGTTTTCTGATATATTGATAAAGATGTCAGATTATTGATTCATAATTACCGATTAATTGTGCCAAAACAGAAATACTGATTAGCTGTACCTGAATCATGATTGCCAAAAGGGGGTAGAATGCTTAAGTGCTTGACCACAATGTTTGATAAAATAACTTAAAGAACATCCCAGGGGGGGAAAAGTAAAAGGAAAGAGAAGAAATGGTCAGTAAAGCAAATCATTCATTGCCATCCTCACTGCTTCAATCAGACATTGTCTGCTCAGTCATTTTAATCATTGTTTATTTCTACTAACCCCTTTCTCTCTCTGTGCGCGTGTGTGTGTTGGCAGGTGTCGAGCGGGTATCTGGTTGTAGTCTTTGTGTATGTGACAGAGTTTACAGGAATTAAGGTGCGCACATGGACCTCTATGCATGTGCACGCAGCCTTTGCTGTGGGCATCATGGTCGTGGCTCTAGTGGGGTACCTTGTTCGCGTCTGGTGGATCTACCAGATCATCCTCACCCTCAGTACCTCTCCATTCTTGCTCTACTGCTGGAAGTTTCCAGAAACACCCTTCTACCTAATGGCTAAAGGACGGTACAAGGAAGCCCAGGAGCTGCTGGACACTATGGCTTACTTCAATGGCCTGCCACCCACCCTTAAGGTAGACTCACACCGACAGGAATTCTGTTCCTGCCATGAATTATACCCTTTTCAGTCATATTTTTTTCAGAATATGCCATCCTGCCATTACCTTAGATTATGAGATACTAGTTCCATAGTTGGATTGATGAAACGGCTTTACTCCACACCCAAATAAGGAAATGGAAAGAAAAGAGACATGCAAAAATATAGAGGTACCATAAATTGAAAGGAAATTTAAAAGAACCATTTTAAAACCCAAAGAAAAATAATTGTCACAAAGCAATTGCTGCCAAAAATCTGTGGCAAACATTTTCAAGGATACTGGTAGAACATATTTTTCACACACAGAAATGACAAAACTTGCATCAGCATGAAATGCTGTGAGCCTGTGAGTTATTGTAAACATTATATTATAATATTCTAAGTTCTTATTTGAAAGATGAGAACAGTTGTGTTAAATAATTGATATGGGAAAAAGTGGTCGTTAACGGCTTTTCAAAATAATGATCTTTAAAAAAGCATCATATGACCCCTTTAAATATATCACTGACTTCAGGTGTCAGAGCTAAAGGATGAATGTGATGGAGCACAGTTGAACGACAACAAGCAGGAGGATGGAAGAGTAGTGGAAGTCGAGAAGAGGCTAAGCATCCTGGACATGTTTGGAAGCTTGAAAATGGCCGGTCGCAGCGCCACCTGTTGGGCTATCTGGTTCATCGGAAGCTTGGGATACTATGTCTTCAGCCTCGGGTCTGTCAACCTTGGAGGAAACCAGTATATCAATCTCTTCCTGGCTGGTAATGGCCTGATGTGTGTTTGTTTGTATGTGCTAGCATGTATTCTCAAGAAAGTTTTGATGCTTTAAATGGAACAGTTCACCTTCTCTCCCCCAAAAATCTGTCATTGTTCATTCATGTTGTTCCAAACTGAAATGACTTTTTTCCATTTAAAAGATGATAATTTTTATCATTATTACATTTGGAATAATGAACTTTCCATGCATTTACAATGAATAGAGTGTAACTTTCAAGCATGATGGAAATGCATTATAAAAGTATCATAAGTGTGGCTTGTGCACAAAAAACGGAACCCTTTAATTGTAAAAAAAATAAAATAATAATAATAATAATAATAATTTTGGGGTGAACTATTCATTTAAAGCAAAAAATATGTTTAATGAAAATAGTGTAAGAGATACAAAAGCATGCAAACACATCTGGTATGATGCCTTATGTATTGGATTGCTGGAATTTGAGAATTTCTGCTGCACTACATGCAGTTTAGTTTCAGTAGTATAGAAGTTAACAGCACTTAAGCTAAATATCCTTTTTTAGGTGCTGTTGAGGTTCCGTCATACTTAATTGGCTGCTTTGCAATGGACCGGGTTGGCAGAAAGAAGACCTGTGCCCCAGCTCTGCTGCTTGGTGGAGTAGCTTGCATGCTCATTATTGTGGTGCCCCAGGTATGAGATCATGTCTGTGTGAATCCAAGTGATATATATACACACACTGTGACATAGCATTACACCGTTAAAAGTCACAATGAAACGGAAGTAGCGTTAAATCTTTTCTTCCATATTGTGACGTAAATCCGAGTGTATCGAAACAGTATCGAAAAAGAAAAAATGGAGGACAGGGATTTAGTTCTATTCCTCGGTTGTTGATTGGATTATGAGATCTGTCTTGCACTCAACATTGAAAGCAGGTGAACTTGATCTTGCAGGAACTGCGTTTAGGCAGACTAAATTATTGGAGAAGTCCTGCAAACATCACCACAGAGAAGTATATAACATTTTGATTATATAACACATTTAAAAAAATTAAATGGATGTATTTTTCAAAATAAGACCTATAACATGTATTTACAAAACAGATAGGGTGAATTTTAATTTCATGGCAACTTTAAAGATCAGTTCAAGTTTTTAAAACACACACACACACACACAGTTAAATATATTTGCTATTTAGGAATCCAAACAAACCTAATTCTCAGCCTCTTATACTTATAGGGAAAGAAGCACAAATGGGCATTGTATTTAGTTTCCATGGCAAAGCCACAAAATTTAAAAACTAGCCTTTCAAATTCTTAAATTGTGGAAAATATTAATCTGGGCAAACTTGTAAATTTAAGTTGGTTTGACAGGTCTGATCAATATGCAACAAGTTGCTTCATTATCATTACCTCTGGGAGGAACTAAGTGATTATTAAAATGAATGATTAACCTTGGCAAGAGTAGACATGTGTTTGTGTACATGTTTGCTTTTCACATGGTAACTGGGCAGCTGTTTGCATCAGATCCTCTCATTCTGTTTTTTTTTTTTGATAAACCTTTTTGCATGCGCTTTCTCAATTTTTTTTACTCTTTTTCTTTAGTGTTTTAAACAGCAGTAATACATTTACTAAATGTTATGCATTCCGGATTCATCTTCTGGAACCAGTTTTGAAGTCTTCAAGACACAAGTAGTGGTGGGTGATATACTGGTAGACAGTCACGATTAACCGGTAGAGATTTCGGACGATTGTCTCTATCGCGGTTACATGCCCAGTCGCTCACGTGACATTGCTGTGCTACGTGTTCACGAAAATGTATCATTTGCACACGTTTTTAAGCATTGGGGTTTAAAAACAAGTGATTTTTATTTGTATTATTTTTGCCGCTTTATAGGCCTTGAACAGGTAAATAGTACATACACACACTTGTATGTGTCAAAATGCCCGTCTTTGCAAGTATCCTCATAAACACAGTAATTTAGGTCTTACGTGAACACAAACAGCTGAGAAAGAAAACACATGTGTAACAGTACCGGGCAGCTCTTAAAGTGACAGCAGTTAAATATTCCTGCTGTCTGTCATTCATGTTAATCAAACAACAAAGGAAAGAAAATCTCTCATTGTTCTTGACTAAATCACTTTTGTGATTTTAGAAGAAGAAATATATATTTAATTTACACAGTGAAGAATATGCAGTGTTTACATTTGATTACTTTATACAATGTATGTAGCATTTCTTATTTATTTGTTCTACAGTACAGTAGTTTTTTTCCTATTGCTTGCTTGTAATTATTTTTTTATTCTTTTTTAATCGCTGACTGTTTACTTGTCTTCAGTGAGCTTGAGTTTTTTTTATTTTTATTTAGGCTAGTATTCGTTTTTTGTGATACTGACACTGGTGACAAGAATGACAATGAAATTTCAATGGTATCAAAAATGTTGATATCACAAAGACCTTATTTAAAGCAAAAAAAACTATATCATGATATATATCGTTACCATGAAATCAAATTACTCATATCAAGATAGAAGATTTTGGTCATATCGCCCACCCCTACACACAAGTATGTTTGTGAAGCGACTAGTAACGGCATACACATCCCACCTCATATACCAAAGAAAGTGCCCGTGTAATTATTTCAACAAATTACTGGCAGCTGTGTTGGTATAGTAACAAGGTTTTAAAAGCACTATCTCTTCTATTTAGAGGACGAGAATGCAGTGAAAAAGCTTGTGTAGATGATATCCCTGTTCTTCTATGTTCCTTATTTTAATTCCTACTGTCTGGTCCTTAGACACACTCACATGTGACATGATAGAGTTGAATCTCATGTGACTTCCTAGTAGGATCTGTGGTATTACAATCCTTTTAAGAACTAAGGGTGGTTATTGGATAATCAAATATGTCTTCATAATTTGAAGTAGAGTTTTTTTTTTTTAATATATATTGTATTCTGGTTTTTGTAATATGTTTGTTTCTGCTTTGTGTATTTGTGAATTATGGTTCTTACCATCACCCTGCCAGGGACTGCAGATGAAAATTAGCCTGAATGACTAAATCTGGCACATTTACATAGTAGACTTGTTTACTTATGTTAATTAATGTGTATTGTCCCTTTTAAATAAAATAAAAAACAAACAAACAAAACAAACAAAACTCAGGCTACTTTAGGATATACATTTCTACCAAAAACAATATTGTTGTTCCTATTCTTGTGATTGGCCAGAGAATACACAGGGGTGCAGGTCTCAACAAGCCCAAAACCTTACTGTGTTTTGTCAAACTGACTGTCCAAATGGTCTCGCTTGAGTTTAATAATTAATAGCAAGCTGTATGTTACAGATTGCTTCAATGCATATATCCATATGGTGTTATTGCTGGTGTCACAAGACCTGTGTTCAACCATCTGGCAATGTGAATTATTTTTACATGCAAAAATCATCTGAATATGTGAGGCACGGTAGTCGTGTATGTTTTTCTCTCTCTGTGCTGTAGTTGGTGTTAAGTGTCAACCAGACAACTTTGCCTCAAGGTCAGTGCCAAATTTCAGTTTAACTTAAAATAAATGTCAGTTTCCTCAGTGTCCTGGCAGCCTCTTGAATTATAGATCTGCAGGTGTAAGATAGTCTGCTTGGCTTCTTGAGAGTAATACATGTAGGCACATGCCCAGTATGTCCGTTTAGCATGGTTGTTAAATTGCTATTGGATGAAAGGTTAAAAAGGTGAAAATGTTTCAGATGCTACTTCGGGTAAATGCTATGCTTACACGACGTAACTGAATCAGAATCAATACATTTAACTGCTTTTAACCCTTATCATAGCAAGAATCTGCAATAATTGTGTCTAAAAAAAAACTACTTAACAAAATGTTGCAGGTGGTGACAAGTGGCTGTCTTTATGAACGAGTCGTTGAATCCCTCAACCATTTTGTTCCAAACACTGGCTGCATCCGAAATCCTATACTCTCAGAGTAGGTACTTGTTTTGAATAAGTAATTACTTCGCAACCAGAAAAAAAAAGTATTCTATATAGAATGAAAGTAAGTAGTACGAATGTAGTCCAGACCCACCAATGTCAGATGCGTCCCTTTTATGCCATTCACAAACCCTCTCCCATGGCCTCATGGAAAAGTGTCCATTGAAAGAAGTAGGTAATCTGGGTACTTTTCGCCTACTGTTTTATAGATTTTGTGCATTTGGACATACTATTTTCATATACCGTTTATCACGTACTATATAGTAGGGAAGTATGTATATTCGGACACAGCCACTGATTCATTTGGAAACAAAAACAAGTTTATGAGTGAGTCACTGAATCAAACTCCTGTGTGGTTGCTCAGATATGCGCAACGGATATCGGTGGATCAAGTTACTCAATATTACCCTATTGTTCATTGAATTGTCTAAAATAATCAGAATTGTGCTGTTGGTCTGAATATCAACATACTGTATTAGGAGCAACAGCACTCTGAAATAAAGAGATGTAATTTTTGAAACAAATGGAGCACATTTCTCCAAACAGCCTTGGTCACTGAAAGCAAAGGCTAAGAAGAATGTGTTAGTGGGTTGATATTCCATCAGGATCGCATCACCCCTCATAACTAATAGCTGCACTCCTGACACACTGAAATGGCCGAGTGTGGTTTGAGTACAGCTATCCTTGCTCCAAAAATCTATAAATAGACCTGTCATCTAAGTGGCTGTTTATACATATGGCAGCTGGCTGCTTCTGAGAGGGGGTCAAAGGGGACATGTCTTGGGGACGTTTAGTCTTGTGTCGGATCCTGAATTTAATGAAGCCCTGTTATGGCCTGCTACTGGCAACCTCTCCAAACAGCTGATGACTGAAACACTGTTGCTGATAAATATAGTTACACTCTGTTTTTCTCTCTCTTTGTTTCAGGATATTGAGATATTGGCTTTAGTCCTGAGTATGACAGGGAAATTCACTATTGCCATTGCATTTGGTCTGATTTACTTATACACCTGTGAGCTTTACCCCACAATTATCAGGTATTCTAATGCACTATATGTAGCCATCCACACTGAAGGCTGGAATACATTATATACTGTGGAATACACAGATTGTATAATACTAGGTGTCATACACCTAGTATTGTGTAGTAAATGGTCACAGAGAAAAACTGGGCATCATACACTTAAACGATTGAGGATCAGACTACCAGATGTTCAAGTCTGAACACAACAAACTCATGCAGAAACACACACCTTTTTGATAGGAAACACATTGCAAAGAAAACAATATGTGTTCTAAAATTGGCTCAAAATATCAAACATGTTTGATATCCTCCAAATGGATACATTCATAGTCTGAACCAAAATATTCAAAGTCTGTGCCCATCATACACTATGTGATTTTCTGGAAAATCTGTCAAGTCTGACTGACTAAAGTCTACAGACTGGCTCAGAAATTCGTCAACTAACACTTCAAAATCATGTAGAGAATTCCAGCCTTCAGGCTGCTTATCTCTAATTTACCTCACAATTCACACTGCAATAGATGAGGTACTATAGTATAAAACATTCATTGCCATGCAACACAATATCATAATTGGACTTGATTAAACTCCACCAAAGTAAGTTACTCATTTTCAATCTCCCTGCTGTGGTCTGCTTCACTTTAATCTAGTTCCGCTAATTCTTTGACAATATTTACGATGTTCCAATTCATATAATTCTATAAACAATCTGTTTCATTAGTTTCTTTACTGGGCATATCTGAAGTTGATTGTAGGATGATCATCTAGTGATCACTGGTCATAGACACCATATTTAATATAAGGCACTATATCTGGTCCAACAGGTCTCTGGCTGTAGGCAGTGGTAGTATGATGTGTCGGGTGGGTAGTGTGGTGGCTCCTTTCTGTGTTTACCTTGCTGACATCTGGATCTATCTGCCACAGGTATGTACAGTAACAGCACTCAATTAATGTAGTACTGTTTGGTCAATTGTGTAACTCTAGAACTGAAGCATGATACAACATGATATATATTTGCCGGACTGAACAGTGATACAGTAGCTTCTGCTCTCTATTATTCTGTAGCTCATTGTGGGAATTCTGGCCTTCATCATTGGGATCCTGACCTTTTTTCTTCCGGAGACTCTGGGACAGCCCCTCACCTCGACTTTGGAAGAAGCTGAAGCTTTGGGCTCCAAGCCCAACAAAAAGAACACTGCAGTGGATGTGCTAGAGATGAACCAAAGCATCAAAGCTTAAATCCATTTTCACACAGGATTCCTGAAAGTGCCTTGACTGACTGAGAACAGTACATACTCCAATATACAAGTCTGAATGAGACATCAAATGTTTTTGACAAGTGTGAAACTAATTTTGTCGTTGCAGGCATTTGTGAATAGATGAGGCTGTGAGTGAGTTTGAGTGAGAGTTTGGATCATTATTAAAAAAAATATTGGTATATTTGATTGTGAACGTTTTTATATTTTGTAATTGTTCTGAAAAAATATCATGTTAATTTTAACAAATAGCTTGCAAGGCAGGACCTCATTTATTTAAACCACTAATACATTACATTTTTGCATTTCAGCCGAAACCACTTGCACAGACTCTTAAGGTGCAGTCACATTAGTGAAATTTCAGCAAGATTTTGGGGCAAAACGTTCTATTGTCAATAAGTGTAGCAGTGCATGAAGCACAGTTCACACAGAAGTCACTTTCAAACCAAGAATCTGTGACCAACTTGAACCCGTTGTGAAAACAGCGTGGACTCCTATTGAAATGACTGGATTTCACCAGTAAAAGTAAATGTGACCGCATCTTTAGTTTTTACAATTTGCTGATTTTAGCAATAGTTTTTGCAAATCAATTTCTTATAGCAATGTGAACATAGTAAAATAATGATAAATGAACAATGCACTAATATGTCATGGATCTTAAACACCATTTACTTACTTTCACGGACTGTATTAGCAAGAGCATTGGCTTCAGCTTCAGTGGACAAAGGAAACACTTGTTCATTATCAGTTAATGGTGTGGTATGTTTCTATGCATGATTCATTGAAAGACAGACCTTGTTTGTGCAAGCTGTTTTTTATACAATTGCATCTCACGGTTAGCTCCAGATTTATCAGTATTGTTCATAGTACTGCAGAACTTTATTATTCTGGGGGCTTTTGTTTTGTTACTTAATATTTTCATTATTTTTATCGTACTGTTCTGTGTTCTCCCTAGTGTAGCATGACATGAGGAATGCAATGTAGAAGAGTTCAAAATAGTATTATCTTCTAAAAACACTTGTAAAATCTTGACTTGAGGATTAGATTTTTTTGTAATACAGCTATCTTTCTCGTCATAGACTTCTTAGACTTAATATTCAATGCATATACTATTTTCCTCAAGCTTATGAATTTATTGTGTTTTTGGACCAGAGATACAGGGGTAGTAGAGTCTTGCTATAGTCATGTACAGTTGTCATAGCAACACGATTGCCTAAAGAATGTCATATATTATTAAATATGATATCATGTCTAAATTAGTGTTTCATTAAAATAATTATAGTGGTTACACATATTGGTGATTGAAGTAAGTACAAAAGTTCTTGTCTTGTGCTGTTCATCTACTAATGGAAAAAGGTGGGAAATATTTTCCAGGTTAGTGGGCGTAAGGCAGGCGTCTCTCATTCGCTGTGACAGAGGGGAGGAGGCCCAGGACAAGCTGTGCACTGCCAGCCCTTACTAAAAAAAAAAAAAAGAGTCACAAATAAATAGCCTAACAGTCTATTGTTGCAATCAGAGATTCTGAATGTACAAAAGGGCAATTTGTGTGTTATTCATTTACTTATGGCCCCTACTGGACATATTCGCATTCACACCTTTTTGTTTTTGTGTATATTGGAGTACTATTGTATTGTCAGCACAAGCATATTTTACAAATTAATCTCCATTATGATTGGAACAGTCCAAGCAGGCCTACTTTACACACCCTACACCACAAATTGACCCATTCGTTTATTATGGAACAGGCATTGTGCATTTACTGCCATTTTTGATATCACTTATTCAAAAGCTGCTGAAAACTTTTTAAAAAGACACGTTGTACCCTGTTTGTGTATTTGAGGTCTGGGTTATCAGTGCTGGCACAAATAGAAATCATCCTATGAGGACAGGGCCAGCTGGACACTGCACTTTGACCCAGCTAAACACAAATACACATGCCTACACCGATGCAAACACAGACACCGATTTCAGGACAAACCTTAGATGACAGAGAAGCTCCCACTTCTGTTGAACTTGGGGAAATACACCTTGGCTTACTCAAATTCATTCATACAAACAAGTGTTTCTCAAACTTTTCAAAACACATTAATCTTTCACATATAGATGACAGACAAATAAAAGTTTGCTTATGACAAATGTCAATTAACATTCAAGATGCATTATTTCTTTTAAAATAAAATAAAAAGATGATTAAAATGATCATTGATAAATCATTAATCTCATCAAGAGGCATCATTACTCTCTTCTTTAAAAACGAAATAAATAACCAACAGTCATTTTTATGCAATAGTGCACAGAAAATGTCCCTAAAACCTTACAAATATCACTGAAATAGAATTCTTCTCTCTCAGTGACAGCACTGACCTCTGTAAACAGCTAAACATCCAGAACAGCATGAACTACGCATTTAAGAAACATTGTATGCACGGTCTGTAGCAGATTGTTGCAGCAGCTTCTTATTTACTGTAACGCTTATCTCATATTATTTCTCTCTCGTGTATCAAGGCAGCATATAGTATCTGTAAGAAAGTCAATACTCAAACCTCTGGCGTTAAAACCTCCATTTGGCACATGAAAAAAGCGCTACCTTCTACCTTTCAGTCATTTTGAGCGTTTGGGTTTGACGACACATCAACAACCAAATATTTCACGGTGCGTGAAAAAAAAACAGATGTGTAATCAGAAAATATGTGAACATCTAAATCAGGGGTGTCCAAACTCGGTCCTGGAGGGCCGGTGTCCTGCAGAGTTTAGCTCCAACCCCAATTAAACACACCTGAAGCAGCTAATCAAGCTCTTACTAGGCATACTAGAAACTTCCAGTCAGGTGTGTTGAGGCAAGTTGCAGCTAAACTCTGCAGGGCACCGGCCCTCCAGGACCGAGTTTGGACAGCCCTGATCTAAATTATAAATAAGAAATTCTGTTGCTTACCTTCACTTTATGTGATGGAAGGTCCTGCATGTTTATCCAAGCTGATAAGATATGGAAGGACAGTTTGAGTCTTGATTACGGCATCAGGCCTTTGCAGTAATTCCTCAGTTTCTTTAGAATGCTTTGCAAACAAGCGTCCAGAAAATTATTTTATACCGCTATTTTACAATTGCCATATCCTGACATTTCCGAGAGAAGACCGCGGGCGTATTTATTAGTGGTAGGGATTTTGATTCATCCTGGTGACTCGATACTTTTGAATCCATTCACCAGATTCATTTATGCACGTTATGCATCGTTACACCAGTAGGTGGTGACAAATACACGTATTATGAGTGAATCTTTGAATAACTATTCACTCGCTCAATCGATTCAAAGCATAAAAAATGAAAAAACAATAATAGTTATTTTATTGATGTGCGCATGCCCAGTAGCCGCAGCTGTATCCCTTCTAGCCGGTGCTTTTTATTATACCTTGCTCGCTTGTTCATACCACTGGACTCATTCAGTAAACGGGGCGTGATCGTTCAATCAGTAGGTTCAATAAATGAAATGCGCCTTCACAGCCCACACAAGTGTTGCCAACTTAGCAATTTTGTTGCTAAATTTAGCAACTTTTCAGACTACCCTAGCAACTTTTTTTTCCAAAAGCACCTAGCAACAAATTGAGCAATTTAAAAAATTTATTTGGCAACTTTTAGCAACTTTTGATAAGGACTCAGACAATAAAAAGGCACACATTTTCCATCCAAATGACACAAAAAGAGAAAACCACAGATGCCTAGCAGTACACACATCACGAGAACTGAGTTAGCTGATATTTGCAATTGTTCAATTTATTAATAATAATAATTGAATAATTTGATAATTGAATATTTGTTCATTTATGATACACTTTTTTAGTAGCTTGTACCTGCGATTGTTGATCAGTTAGTACACTAAGAAAAATGGAAAATCTTTCAGGACATTATCCATTATCCATTGTAACTCTGTAACCCAAAAACACAATGTGTAATTTAAATGCAGGTAAAAAAAAACATTACAGAAAATTATTTTATATTAACATAGTAGATTGTGCCTTATTTTTACAGACGTTTCTTAGAGTGTAGCATACTAACTAACTACTAATACACTGCTTAAAGCATAATTGTTGAGAATGTGTAGAATTGCTAGTTTACTAAAAAAACTTAAATTGTAATAATTCAAAAAGGTGCAAGTTTTCAACAATTCAATGTATTTACAAATACAGTTATTTATATTTTAATATTATATCATGCATATTATTTTACAAACAAATCTAAATGAACATATATAAAATATTTTTTTTGCTGAGATTTGATGATGTGACAATTTTGTGTTGTGATTACGCAATGACATCACAACAACATTTAGCAACTTTTAGCAATAAATCGACTTTCCTTTAGCAACTTTCTCTGAAAATGAGTTGGCAACACTGGCCCACACTCGAATGCTATTTGCTCGCGCAGTCTTTTGGAGGCGGGAACACACTCAAACCCTTCAAGTTTCAGTGAATGTCATAAATGAATCAGTTCAAATAAGAATTCTAGAGATGGTCGTGGTATGCTTTAAATGGGGTCGCAAACAAAACATCATTTTTTTAATCTATAGTAAACACTATTATAATCCATATATAAAATAACTAATATGAATATTAGGGTATTAAACTGCTATAAAAATCCAATTAAAATACAAAATATAAATAATTTTGTTACTATAAAATAAGAAAATATAAGAAATATTTCCATACAGCACATATGAAAAGTTTCTACAACGGCTGTTAAAATACTTTTATTTTGAGAGCTTTCCCAGTAAAGGTGCAGTTAATTTGTAATAATAGCAATTTCATTCAATTTTGGTATCCAAAAGAGTCACTCCATCTGTCCTTAAGTAACAATGATCAGATGCTTTAATATTTACCAGCTGTTAGATGCCAAAAAAACAAAAATATATCTGCTCTTTTTTTTTTCCTGAGATTCGTACATGGAATGCAATCATCAAAAGTAATACTGTAAAATAAATTAAACAATATAAAATCCACATTGAACACAAAACAAGTACATACACCTATATACTTAACTGGCAAGTTTAAATGGGAAGTGTTAAATTCTGTGAAAGCTTGTAGCTATAGCATTTATTTAGTCATGTATTAATCGTTCATTTCACTTTACCAGCATAGTTCAACAAAAATGCCCCATCAGGCTGACCTCTAATTAATGCATTCTTCAGTTAAAATACACTACAGGAACCGTATGGACCTATAGGTGTTGATCTGTGGGCAGCATTTAAATTGGGTTTAAATGTAATGTACAAACTCATGT